AGCACCGGCTCCGTGGACAGCTCCCGCCGTCCAGGATCGTCTCCTCCTCGTCTGCCGCGCTTGGGGGAAGTCATTTCCTTGGGACTCAAGGGTGTTTTGTACCTGGCGCACGCCCCACGCCGTCCCATAACCCCCCCTCCCTTCGTCGTCCCCCCAAAGACAGGCTGGGGCAGCGCCGAGCCGGTCTCGAGCGGTATTTTGTACAGTAATGTTTCCAGCAGCAATTGGATGTAACGTTTTTGCTTTGGGGCTATTTCCTGTTTGTTGTTCATTTTTGTAAAGCAGACGCTACGCTCAAGCAGTGCGCAAAACTGTTTATTTTTGCAATTAAAAGCATTGTGCTAAAAGCTTACTTTATCTGCCATCCAAGCTCCTGACCCTTCCTCCCAAACCCTTCCCCACCCCTGAACCCCTCCAGAAAATGTGACTCCTTACATTCATGGAGTCATTACCCACCTACTGTCAGGCACTGTGGCACATAGTAGGCATTCAATAAATATGGACTGAATTAACAAATGAATTTAATCACAGCTAGCCTAAGGGCTTAAGGGGTTTCTGAAAAATTGTGCTTATATTATCCTCCTTAATCCTGAGTGCAGCAGTCATATACATACTCCATTTCAAAGATTCAGGAAGCAACCTACATAAACTTTCTGGGTAACCCAGCTAGGAACAGTCAGGGTCAAACCCAGATCTGTCTGGCTGCAAAGCCAATGCTTTTTTCCCAACCCTAAAATGGCAGCACCTCAGCTTAATAGCATTGTTTGAAAGGCTTCCTCCCAAGAGGTGAAATAGGTTCTGTAACTAGAGGGAGCCCCAGGCAGTAGCAACAGCAGCAGAAGACTGCCGCATTTCAGTGCTGTGTGTGAACACCCAGTGTGTTGGGTGTCACAGTCTCCAGCAAGTGCCTATACATCTGTACGAGAATCGCATGCTGTCAGTGCCCAAAGGGACTGAGCATCCATCTGGATTATTGATGGACAGAGCCAAGCCTAGAGAAGAGGGTGCTTGCCCAAGGCTCACAGCCACCCACCTCTCATAAAGTTGCTCTTTCCACAATGGTTCTTCTCCAGGAGGCAGAAGTCCCCTTACCAGCCAGTTTTGTTTTGCACTTGCCATAGCCCCTTTCCTCTAACTCTCCAGGTGAATCCCATCATGGCTTTTTGGGGGAAGGATGCAGCTAAGAGGGTGGTGAGGACAGCATGACCCTATGATGGGGAAGGTGGGGTTTCACTTGGTGCCCTTCACTCCCTAAACTGCCAACCCAAAAGTTTATACACTCTTTCTGGTCACCTTGGGCAGACCTTGGGGCACTAAAAGCCTGTTATGCATCCCATCTCTCCTCCCCAGCAACTCCTGTCTGATAAGGAAAGGATGGCCTGTCTGGGGGCTTCATTCTTTTCTCTTCTGAGGTGTGCTATTCTTTTTTTAAAGACACTATTTTTTTAAAAAAAAATGATTTTTAGAGATAGAGAGAGAGGGAGGAGAGAGAGAGAGAGAAGAAAGAAAAAACATTGATTTAAAAATAGGATTCCACCTATTTATGCATTCATTAGTTGATTCTTATTTGTGCCATGACTGGGGATTGAACCCACAACTTGGGTATATTGGGGTTCAATATACCAAATGAGCTATGCTTCAACCAAGAGGTGAAATAGAGAATTCCACCCATTTTTCTCCCCAGGTGTTAAGTGCTTTCATGTAGTTGAGTATCTTGTATCTAATAAACCAATTTGTGATAAAGGATTTGATATTACCTCTTCTAGGAGTTAACATTTTAAAAGAATGGCCTGCAGAGGGCAATGTTTAACCCTAGAGAGAGGCTCATGGAGGCATAAGGTAATGATGACTCTCATTACGTACTATTTAAGTGATCACACCTTTCACACTGACCACCTGACTTCACTTTCCATGAAGAATAGGTAAGGAAGAGCACAAAGGCCCAGATCTCAAGCAACTGGTCCCAAAACACATAACCTGAACAAAGGAAGAAGGGCAGACAGGCTGTGGTGGGTGGCACCTAACCACCCCACCCTTGCCTTCTTCATCAGCATTCCATCAAGTAGTCTGCTCTATTGTGCCCCACCTTGTCTCCACACCTATCTAGGCCAAATATCACTGATGAGAAAATTGACTTAATAGTAGTGCTCGTACCAGAGCCCAGCCAGGTTCTAGAACTCTCAGCTGAGAAGTCCCTCCTATTACTCCCAAGGGAAACAGCTGCATTTTCTGGACTCTCCCCTAGGGATTCTGAGGGGGAAAGAATGTTAAGCAGGAGATGGAAAGAATTAAAATCAAACAACCGGAAAATCAGGACCCAAACAGAGAGCAAGTAAAGCTTCTCTTTTCATTTGGTTCTCAAAATGTGGATGTTTCCCAGATTGAGTTTTATTTCAACACTCTCCTAGGAGAGCACATTCATTCCCGGGGCCTTCATCTATCACTGCTCCATAGATGACTTCTAAGTCGGGCAGCCCTGGTCCCTACCCCAGCTGCAGTCCCGTGGTTCTAACGCACATCTCCGTGTGGGTACCCTACCACCATTTCAAATACAATCTGTCTAAATCATCTTCCGTATATACTGTACCCAGTTTCTGCTAATGGTGACCATCCTTTGTTTGGTTCCCTAAACTCACTTAAATCATCACAGTTCTTCTGTGGGATGCACCTTTGACTCTCCCCTTCCCCAATCCAGGCTGTCACTTAGACCTGTTGTCTTCAGGGTCTTATCTACTCTTATCTCATTCAGGGTATATTGTTTCCTTTTATGTATTGTAATTTTTATCTAGTGAACTAATCTTCAGTGGGGATTTACCAGGGCAGTAATATTCTGTGACCTGGGTTGAGGGTATGTTTCTTCTGAGCAATTTTTGTGTTTGCTTGTGCCAGGCATTCCAGGAGAATCAACTGATGGAGACCAGTCTTTTTTGTTTAAATATATTTTTATTGATTTCAGAAAGGAAGGGAGAGGGAGAGAGATAGAAAGATCAATGATAAGAGAGAATAATTGGTTGACTACCTCCTGCATGCCCCACACTGGGGATCAAGCCCACAACCCAGGCATGTGCCCCCCCAACTGGGTATCAAACTGTGACCTCCTGGTTCATAGGTTGAAGCTCAACCACTGAGCCTTGCTAACCAGCTGGGCTGATGGAAACCTAATCTGTACCATGCAGGTGTTGAGTTCAAACTCTAACTCATTTAGTTATAAATTCTCAGAGGCAACTCCTCCTACTCTAAGCAGAACCACCCAGGTCAGGACAGACAAGCAATATTCCTTCCTCCCTATACCTTCTGGGGCTAGTCACAGCACATCCCATGCTTACATTTCTTGGTCTCAGTTCCTTTGTTTTGGTTCATGTAGATTTTATTTCCTTCCTTCAAGCTCAGCTAAGTACTTCAGGTGTCTCTTATACTTTGTGAATCAGTCCACGTATTGTGTAGCAGGAGGACTTTGGTGATAGCTGTTCAACAATACTGCTGAAAACTGGAGCCAGAAGATGTTGATGTCTCTATTAAAATATTTCCTGCATTTATCCTCTCTGAGCCTCTTGCCAGCACCTCAGCCCATGCCACACCTTCCACATACATAAACACCTTGGCTGTGACTCACACAGAATCTCATAATAACATGTAGTTGGTAGGAGCTTATAAAAACATCCTGTCTGACCCCTCATGAGGAGGAAACTGAGGTGCAACAGATTTGGGGATTTTCTTAAGGGCACACAGAAGATAAGAGATTGAAGTGGGCCTTAAATCTAGGCCTAACAGTTCAAGACCAATGCATATCCATATATCCAGTCATTCCATAAGTATTATTGAGTGCCTACCATATGCTGGGCCAGTGGTTCCCAATTTCTTTCCCTTCCAATGCATCAGAGGAACTTGACACACACACACACATCAGTAACAAGTTTCACTTACCATGGAGAGACAGGGAAGAGCAATAATAATAAGAATCTTGCCCAGCCAGTGGCTCCTATGAACCAGGAGGTCACGGATTGATCCCCGGTCAAGGCATATGACTGGGTTGCGGGCTCGATCCCCAGTGTGGGGCATGCAAGAGGCAGCCAATCAGTGATTCTCTCTCATCACTGATGTTTCCATCCTCTCTATACCTCTCCCTTCCTCTCTGAAATCAATAAAAGATATTTTTTAAAAAAAGAATCTTGATGAGATGAAATATGGGGGAAAGTTTCACAAAGCAACCAAGAATGTCTTCTATTTTCTCCCCCTTCACCCCAACCCCTGTCTCCCTGTTTGTGATAAGCCTGAACTATATCAAACTGCTTCCTGTGGTCCCTCTGCCTCCATTCTTTCTCCCTCCATTCCACATCACTACTATTGTAATTTCCTTAAAACATAATTGATGGTGTTTTATCCCAAACTGAACATACCTTCCACCTTCCTATAAAAAAATACACTGCATTTAAAGCCTTCCATATCTAACCCAAATTTATGTTCCACCCTCCTCTGTCATCTCTTCCATCACTCTGCCCTCTCCCCTCCCCTCATGTATTAACCAAATCTTCCTACTCAAGGGCAGAGACCTTGTCTGATTCATATTGTGGCTGCCATATCACCAAGCCTACTGTCCAGCACACTTAAATGCTTAATTATTGTGTGGGCTCATTGGCAAAAAGGAAAAAAATGGTGCCTAAATGCCTAAAAGGAGAAAGGAAAAGAGAAGGGGAAAGAGGAAGGAAGGAAGATGGTTAGGGAGCATGACGCAGGGAAAGGATCAGGAGGGAGAGGTGGGAACAAGCAGTGCTGAGGTTCTGATCTGAGCCACTGGTCTCATGAGTGAGACCACACATCTGACCAGTCTGTGATGAGCCCATGATTCTCTGCCTTAGCTCTGGGCTCCAGATGTGTTTGTCATTCAGTTCTCTCTCTCTCTCTCTCTCTCTTTTGGTTTCTCTGGTC